ATCTACACCTAAATGATTCTAATATTTTAACAATGGTACCAGTGCCATGGTTGCTAGTGGGTAGATCGAGTGTGGGATAGAAAATTGAAAAGAAATCGAAGAGATAGAGAAGTAGAGGGTTCGATCCGGTTCGGATTGAAACCCTAACCCAAATCGGGGAAGAAACAGAGATGCAAGAGGGATCCAAAACGAACCCTAACCCTAGCCCGCAAAGATCCAGTCAAGGAAGAAAAGCAGTAGCAGTGAGTTTCGACCAAACCCTAACCGGCTAAACCCAAACCCTAACCCTAAGACCTAACCCTAGCAGCGAGGATAGAGGGGGAGGAGCCTACCTAGGTTTTTCCTCGCCGTTGTCGCCACCGCCGTCGCGCGGGAAGATGACCGCGCTACCGCCTCGCCGGAGCGTGAGAAGAGAGCCGAGCCCGCTGGCTCGGACTCAGAGCACCGCCGCAAAGCCGCTTGACGGCGGCGCGCTCACCCTCGGGCGAACGCGCGCTCCGGCGAGGGGGCCTGCGGTGGCGCCATCACCCTCTTCTGACGAACTCAGGCGGCCACCACTGCTCTCTGCTCTCCGTTGCGGGGCTGAGAGAGGAAGGGGAGGGAGACGGAATGACCTAGGGTTCGAGGGAGACGACGCCGCGTGGGGTTTTTGTTCGCCCGAGATCACCGCGTGGTCGTCGGATGAAAATAGACGGCGCAGATCAACCAGGCCGAGTTTAAGCCCAGGCGGGCGCGAGCACTGGGCTGCTTTGCCAGCCCAGGCCCAGGTTGCGGCCTGGGAGGCACTGCGGGCGCGCGCGCGTAGTTGGGCCAGGCCGTTTTGTCGGTTGGGCCGAAGCAACAGTACTAAATGGAGTCCATTTCCTCTTTTCTAATTTTTCTCTTTTTTATTTTTCTAGTAAATTGTTATTTCCTGGAAAATGATTAATGCCTCAAAGAAAAATTAGTAAAGAGAATTTTCCTGTGGGTAAAATTCACAAATTATATTTAAGTTTCCGCTGTAGAGTTTAAAGTTTATTATCTTTTAATTAAATTCAAACCTACAGAAGAATTTAATTTGAAGAGCAGTTATATTTAGTAAATCATGATTATGCTTATCCTCTAATTAAATTGGAACCAACAAGAAAATTTAATTAGAGTAGTCCGTTTTTTGTTTAAATAAGATTATGGTATTATCATTTTCTAACCAATGTTGATGATAACAATATTATAATGAATTTAAGTTTAAAGTTTAAATCTCTGATAAATTTTACATCAACGTGATCAGTTTTTTAGAGAGTAGACAAGGACCAAGAAATATTCCTGAACTGAAAGAATGTATTTCATTATCAAGTTTTCGCTACAATGATGTTGATTATCTTCCAATTAAATTCGAACCAGCGGGAAAATTTAATTTTGAAGAGTAGATATAAGGATTTTGAGTTAATTTATGAGTTTTATGCATTAATTCTATTTTCTGCCCCACGGTGATGTAGAAACATATAATATGTTTTATTTTTAATCGACGAGATCACTCGGCTGCATGCCAACATGGCTGTAATGCTGGGGTAAGTGAATAAAAAGGTTTGAGTCAAGCCAGTTCATGACAGTTTTTGTTAGTTTACTAATTTTCTAATTAAATTGAAACCAACAGGAAGATTTAATTGAAAAATGAAGTATGAATGAATGTTTAAGTCGTCATGACTAAGTTTTCGTATAGATGTATCCCGCATAGTGAGAAGTTTTGACATAAGACTTATGCTAGTCAATCCTACATGTCGGGAGAAGTTTGTGATGATTCACATGTTTTGTATCTCGCATAGCGAGAGAAGTTTGGGTAGCTCTTATGCTGTCATAGTATTGACCTTGGCACAATAGAAATACATTGTCATGATCAATACTAACCAAAAGATAAGAAAAAATACAAGTATGACTTGCAAAAGTACTGCTAATGAAAGACCTCGTTGAGTTCTCGAAGTAAAATAAAGAAAGTGTACTAAACGGATCAAGAAATAACTTTGTTTACATAATCATGTGAATGAAGTAAGTTATAAGTGTCTTCTCGTTCACAGGCTTTTAAATAGTTCTCGAAATTATGGCAGTAAAGTTCATGCCGTATTTCGAGGGGGGAAATATTAAGATCAATTAAGAAAAATACTCTTCATTAAAAATGAGATAAAGATCAATTAAGAAAGATACTCTTCATTAAGAGTGAGATAAAGATTAATTAAGATGAAACTGTTGGAGGAGTACAACGGTTACAACAATAATACCCCTAAGCAGAGAAATAGCTAAATTCATGGACCTTTTAAAGTTCCAACAAAAAAATAGTGTAGTCAGTCTCAAAGATGTTAAGGTGGTGCTTAAAGCGCCATATGAGATTTTAACGGATTAAACCCAAAATAAGATATTTGAAGATACATTTTCTTTAGAAAAGATGGAAAGATCTGGAGGAGCATGGTATGTAGAGGTATGTAGAGACTTAAGACTTGAAGAGAAGCGAGATTGCTTGCCCACTTCAGTGATTCAAAAACAACAAGTTTCTCAATACCTGTTGATGTTGTATGACCAATACAATACCTGTTGTCAGCTCTTCGAAGATGGATAATGTTAACAAGGATCTTGTAATACAGGAGCCTGTAGAATCAATTGTCTCTTAGCAATGAAGAGCAACAACAGTCCTATATGAAAGTGGCAGTAGCTGAGGCCCTAGAAGGTCTCAAAGAATTAGTAAACCAATTTTTCCAATGATTACGAAGTCTATGTTAGTAAAGAAATTTAAATGAAGGGTGATCCCACCTCATTTGAAGAAGCCATGAGAAACGTTTACTCATTTAAATGGCGAGAAGATATGAAGTTGAAATGAATTCGATGAATGCCAACGATGTTTGGGACTTAGAAGTAATTTCTAATGGAGCTAAAACAGTAGGCTGTTAATGGGTCTACAAGACAAAATATGACTCTAAAGGGAATGTAGAAAGATATAAAGCACGACTTGTAGCAATATACTTTACACAAAGAGAATGAAAAGATTACAATGAGAGTTTTCTCTCTAGTCTTATGCAAGAATTCTTTTAGAATCATAATGGTGTTCATGGCACATTACGATTTAGAAATACATCAGATGGATGTAAAGACGGCATTCCTCAACAGGGATTAGTATGAAAACGTTTACATGGCTTAACCCAAAAGGTTTTGTCATGAAAGAAAAAAACATATGGGATGTCGCTTGTAGAAATCTATTTATGAGTTAAAATTAAGTCTCTAGACAGTAGTATTTGAAGATGATGAAAACGATAAGAAAATTTGGGGTTTAAAGAAAATAAGAAAGACAATAGCGTTTATGCATAGCTCAAGAATGGAAAATTCACTTTCCACATCCTATGAATAGATGACATTCTACTCATTAGTAGTGATGTTAATCTGTTATTGGAGAAGAAGAAGTTTTGTCCTCAACTTTCAATGTGAATGATCTTGGTGAAGCGTCATTGGTTTGAGGAATTGAAATTCACCGAGATAGATGAAAATGGGGGTATTAGGACTATCGTAAAGGCATACTTAGAAAAGATTCTAGAGAAATAAAGTATGCATGTGAGTAAACCTACGCCTGCTCCTATAGTCAAGGGTAATAGATTTGAGAACTTTAAGTGTTTCAGAACCGATATGAGATCGATCAAATGAATATGGTTCCATATGCTTCAGCTGTTGAAAGCTTAATAAGTGTATAAGTATAAGTAAGAACTTACCCTGACATGGTTTACGTGTCCAGGATATTTTGGCAGAAATCTAGTCTAGATATAGATCACTGGAATGGAGTTGAGAATGTCTTGCAATTTTGCAAAGTATCATAGGCCTAATGCTGAGTAAGAAAGAATAAGTACTCTAAAATAGTTGAGGGTACAAAAGTTAAGTCTTGGCGAGATGTGTAGTGAAATCTACAGCAGTTGCTAGCACTCACAGTTGTAGTATTATTGTAGAAAAGCTTCAAAGAAACAGTTGTGGTGTCATCAGTGATGCACACCATAGTATAGCTTGACATGAGGCTTAAGGAATAGGTGAAAGGAGGTTAAGGGAATTTGTACCCAGATTTAACAATGGTAGACAACAGCAATAACCATTTAAAGCAAGTTAACTCCTAAGACAACAGGTCAAGTATGTTGCCAAACACATTGACACTAAGTTATATGTTGTAAAAGAGAAAATCCAGAATCATTTTAAAAGCATTGAGCACATAAGTACCGAGTAAGTACTTGCAGATCTGCTTACCAAAGGCTAACCACCCAGTACGTTCAGAGAACACACAGTCGACATGAATTTATGGGAAAGCATATGATTTCTGGATACTAAGGGCCTAATTGAGTATTTATTTCAAAACAGAGTGGTGCATTGTAGCTGTTAAGTCTAATGGCAACTGACCATGACGATGAGACACACTCTATGCACTGATCTGTGATGGAATGGGAACAAGATAAAGTAAGTTAAGTTTAAGTCATAAGGTGAGATCAAGGGGGAGAATATTAGGATTGATCTCATCCGACTCAGTCCAACGATTGAGTCGGACCCCTTGACCGTGTCCAGATCGGGGACACACAACTGATCAGTGGTTGACGGGCCTCTGTCACACAGCGCTATAAGATAGAGGTGGGGTCTGGGACGCTAGATACGAGGTTCGACGCCGTCACTGACCCACCGAAGTAACCCTAGAAGGCCCCTCCGATCATGGGCTGCGCTGTAAGTGATGGGAAGCCCCGCCGGCAGCGCCCCCATCCTCTGTACTCTACCGTGCGTCCTCCTCTATCTCCTCTGCCAACCCCGAAGGTATGGGTCTCTCTCTTTCTCTGTCTCCCTCTCCCGATTCATGTTCTAGATCGATTTGAACCAAATAGAGATGAATCCACCCACTAATCTACACTTAGATGATTCTGAGATTTTAACAGAGATGTCATGTTAAGTCTCCAAGCTGTGGCGCAATAATTATCTCCAAGAAATGTTCTGATATTTTGTTTTGTCATTTCACACAGGTAAATGGCAAAGAAACAAGTACGTGGGGGTTTCTCTGGTGGAAAAGACTCTGTCCATCATGGGCTTCGGGAAGGTTGGCTCAGAGGTAGCGAGGCGAGCGAAAGGGCTCGGGATGCATGTGATAGCTCATGATCCCTATGCCCCTGCTGATCGAGCCCGTGCCCTCGGAGTAGAGCTGGTATCTTTCGACGAGGCCATCGCAAGAGCCGATTTCATCTCCCTCCACATGCCACTGATACCGACAACATCCAAGATCTTCAACGACGAGTCCTTCGCAAAGATGAAGACTGGTGTCCGGATCATCAATGTGGCCAGGGGTGGAGTGATCGATGAAGATGCTCTAGTGAGGGCCCTTGACTCTGGCAAAGTTGCTCAGGTGATCACAACTTCATTCGATTCAAGTGTTATTTCACCCAATTCATGTAAAGATGGATCTCTCTGAAAGCTGAGTTTTTCCATGGCCAATGTGGAGCAGGCGGCTCTTGATGTCTTCACCGTGGAGCCCCCACCGAAGGACAGCAAGCTGGTGTTGCATGAGAACGTGACTGTAACACCCCACCTTGGAGCAAGTACTGTCGAGGCTCAGGTCTGCATCGTCACCCACTACCATGTCTTGCATTGATGCAGACCACTTGCCGCTGTCTCTGACGACGTACCAACTTCACTGAACTCTCCAAAATGGCAGGAAGGCGTCGCTATCGAGATTACGGAAGCCGTGGTTGGTGCGTTGAGAGGGGAGCTCGCAGCAACAGCTGTGAATGCGCCCATGGTCCCAGCTGAGGTAGGTACCTTCTCTCGACATGTCGCATGTCAGTGCAGCACACTTCAATAGTTCATTAAGCGTGTTCATGGATGGCTCAATCTGATGATGAAATTCGTGTTCTTTTTTTTTTCGTTTGCCAGATCATGTCAGAGCTGGCTCCATATGTTTCTCTGGCTGAGAAGCTCGGGAGGCTGGCGGTGCAGCTCGTGGCCGGCGAGAGCGGCATCAAGGGCGTGAAGGTGGTGTACACCACAGCCCGTGGCCCCGACGACCTGGACACTCGGCTCCTCCGCGCGATGGTGACCAAGGGCCTGGTGGAGCCCGTGTCCAGCACATTCGTGAACCTGGTGAACGCAGACTACACGGCGAAGCAGCGCGGCCTCCGCATCACGGAGGAGCGCGTCGCGCACGACAGCCCGGCAGCGGAGGCACCGCTGGAGTCCGTCCAGGTTCGCCTCTCGAATGTGCAGTCCAAGTTTGCGGGTGCGATCAGCGACGGCGGGGACATCGTCCTGGAGGGCCGGGTCAAGTACGGCGTGCCGCACCTCACCCTCGTGGGACCCTATGAGGTGGACGTCAGCCTGGAGGGCAACCTGATCCTGTGCCGGCAGATCGACCAGCCCGGGATGATCGGCAAGGTCGGGAACATCCTCGGCCAGAGGAACGTCAACATCAGCTTCATGAGCGTCGGCCGGACGTTCCGTGGCAAGCAGGCGATCATGGCCATCGGCGTTGACGAGGAGCCTGACAAGGAGACGCTGGAGAAAATTGGGGCCATTCCGGCGATCGAGGAGTTCGTTTTCCTCGAGCTATGATGGATAGCGAGTTTTCTGTAGGATTAAGTTTGATAGTACGTGCTGAACTTGGGGTTTGACGTCTGATGGACACTGGGAGGAACGCGATCCGTGGTGGTCTGTTACCGTCTGTTTGGGGACCTCTACATTTTTTTACGCCAGGAGAAGGAAGAAGTATATGTGAAGGGTGCCTTGGCTTGGTCCCTGTCTAAATAAGAGATGTGTGTGTGCCGTTTGCTATGTGTAAACTGTGTATCTATCTGTATGTGCTTAATGCTTGGTTCTAAGAACAGCATCATTGTGTCAGAAATGCAGACGTTGTGTACTGTATGGTGCAACTGCAACAAATTGTGGTATTGTTTTACAAACCCAAATACCGGATACAAGACACTGCAGTATGAGAGAAGAACACGAAATCGAAAGGGTTGGAGGGAGTTCTACAAGGACAAGAGGAAATCTCTGATTCAGTGAGGCAGACACCATCGGTTCAGTTGTTCTAAACTTCTAGCCTTGGTTTGTTTTTCTTTTATTTTCTTTACTCGGATCTCCATTGATTGTTTTTCGTAGAAACGGGTTACTGGCAGACACCGCTGCTGTGGAAGCCCAGATCCCAGACTGCCAGGCTGCGAGAAAGGTGGGCCGTAGTCATGTGGCGGCAACGGGCGGGAGAGAGCCCAGGGCAAGCATCGGGCCGGCATTTTATCTAATCTTTATAATGGGCCTTAATAAATGTGGGCTGAATACCTTATAAAACATTAAAAAAAAGCAGCCTATACTTCCCGTGGCTTTATCCGTGCTGAGTGCAATGCACATGGGGCAGGTCCACCGCCACACGATGACACGATCATGGATTTTGATGCGATAATGATATGCCTAGCGTCCTCATTCCCCCACACGCTTGGATCCATTCTTATCTTCTGCAATACGAAGAGAAACAACCCATTTGCGACACGGTGTGACAAGCTCGACGTGGAACCTAAGGACCGAGGTTGCCACGGCCACACCGGCGAGCTCCGCTAGCACCGCCGTCGATGAGCTCCACGTGTGTGCCATCGCTGCCATCCTCCATGACATACGCTCTAGCGAGGGGCAGGAGGAGCTCCGCGCCGCTGCCGCACCAACGAGCCTCCACTCACCTATCGCCACCATCGAGCTCCGCATGCCGGTGAGCCTCCACTCGTCCAAGCAACAAGATGATGTTGCGCTGCCGTTGCAAATATATTTTTTTAACTATTTCAGACGTATATTTCAAGTGTTTTATCTGAATGTCGCAAAAACTTATCTAAATGTTGCAATAGCTATATAATCATGTTTCAGAGGTGTGCTATATATGTTGCATATGAAGAAGGGGAGGACATGGCGCAGCGGGGCGATAGGCGTGATGCGGGGGATGATGGTGCGGCGGCGACGGAATGGCGGCGGGGGTGAAGTGGACGCGGGCGTAGCGGGATGTTGCAGGTGACGCGGGCGCGGAGGGGATGGGACCCATGAGGTAACGCAGGTACGACGGGCCCGCTCGCGGGAAGAGGACGGGGCGCAGTGGGTGCGCGTCCGGGCGATTTCGATGCCTTGCATGAATGCCTGATATAGTCGCTACACCATAACATAATCACCATGGCATCAGCTGCATAAAGGCTTCCAGAATCCGCCTATTCGTTCGGATATGGACGTGAACCGGAACAGAGCTGACAAGTTTGTCTCTATTCTTGCTGTACGGAGATTCGAATCATTCGATTATCCAGCTTCTCAATTTCCGGTTTTGGTCCAACTTTGGATGCAGAAGCAGGACCATCTCCAATCGACGAGCGAGCGGCTGAGAATATTTGATTTGGTCCCAAGAAACTCATCAAGTACTGGTGTACTACTACAGCGCTCATGCTGTCACGCAGCCATCAATAATGTGTGTGATGAGGTGGTGCATGCTGCACTAGCCAGCACGGCGTCGCGTCTGCGTCTCCCTCGTGCATGGTCCAGACGTCCAGTGCAGCAGTTGCTGGTGCTGCCGCGTCCATCTGCATTCTGCACAGGTGCGCTCGTCCCTTTCCGGCATCTTTATCTCCGGCCACACGCCCGCCCGCGCGACTCCTGAACACCTGAAGGACGCCGCCCCACGCGTCGCTCTCCGTTTTACCGCATTATTCTCCACGCTTGATGTTGGACTATTCCGGGCCGGGTGGCCGCTCCTACCGCGTCTCAACCTCAACGACAATCAGCCCCTTTCTTGGACTGTTGCGAGGCTCAAGACTCGACCAGCCTTCAACATTATGTGCTGCCTGCCACTGCTTGTTTCTTCACACATGACACACCCCATGGTTTTCATGATTACGTTCGCCGTGAGCCATGACCCAATGAAAAACAGTGATCGCAACACCAGGAATCACGTCACCTGTTTGCAACGTCTGGTTGAAACGTGGTTGCCTGTTGGTACCATGGCTGCGTGTTTATTGAGATTGGAAACAGCCAGCTTACAATTCGATCTAGGGCTACGCACTGAATTGGCGCAGCCTGATTCCTTGGCAACCTTTTGGAACGCTCAACTTCCATTTTTTTTTGAGGACCGAGCGTAGCTCGGTAGGCTCGTTTCCTGTGGTCGGAACAACCGGTCCTGGGTTTGATTCTCTGAATCGACCAGGAGCCTCACCTCGGGATTTTTTTTTCCGTTTTCATCTGCCGCCTCTCTCGGCGTGGAGCCACAAAGGGATTGCGACGTGCCCGTTGCCTACGGCGCTTTGATGGTCCCGTGATCTCAAGAAGGACGCGGTATTCTTATCTGTGTGTAGTTGTAGGTCTAATTGTACACACGCGTGGTGTGTGTGGGTAGTGTGGGCGTGCGTTCGTGTATAAACATGATACTACAACTGTAACAGGCTTCAAAAAAAAAATTGTTAATGCCAATGCCAATGTCCTACGCACGATAGGAACTGCTGGCGCGCCCACCATCCAAGTGTTGACCCAAGCCGAGGAACAGGGGTAGCGGTTGTGTGCGTGGGTGTGAACCCGAGGGGGGGGTCCATCTGCTAGGGGTAAGCAGGGCAACAGAGTTGTTGTATTATGTTATAGGTATATGTAATAATGACTTGGGTTTATTATATACAAGTTTAGGGGTTATTTTAAATTATTATTAGATTTGAATTTAGGGGTTATTTTAAAGTATTCTTTGTAATTAGATAGATGAGTAATTAAATGCATTATATAGTCGAGGATGACTAGAGCCTACTAGATTAATGGTTAGACATTTCTGATTAATATGAGAACTTGTAGGATTTATTTTTTTATATTTGGTGAGAATTAATATATTTAATAATCAGTAATAGTAAGAGCGCTTGTTAGCTATCCCGTAGCAGTGCACTTGAAAGTAGAAACAGGAAGCTATCCTTCGTGTCTTTTTGCGGTCAATATACTCACGATATAACCCCTCTGTCTTAAAAGGAGTCTCACATATGGTTCATGTTGGTTGAACTTTCTCAAGTTTAACCTAATTTATAAAAAAAATATTAACAACATTTATATTTCTAAGTGATATTAATTATGAAAATAGATTCAATGATTAATCAAATGATACTAATTATGCATCATAAATATTAATATTCTTTTGTATATATTTGGCTAAAGTTGAAACTGTTTGAGTTTTCAAAAAGTGAAATCATATATTTTGTGCGAGTACAATCATACATGCATCCGCGTCCTTCTTCGTACGCTCACGGAGGAGTCACAAAAGGGGCAAATGGGCAATAATCATTCAAGGTCGCATGCGGCACTTCGCCAGCCGCCGACGGCCCATCCGTACGCTCGCGAAGGCAATAAGCCAATAATGGATGTGGGCAGCCGCCAGCCGCACTGCCGCGCGCGGGGGCTGTGGTGCGCGAGGCTGCTGGCTGGTGGCAAGTTGGCAACGCACGGCGCGGCCAGTGGGATATGGAGTATGGACGCGACGCGGGGTACAACACTACAAAGCGAAGGCGAGGAGGCCAGGCAGTGGCACGTCCGCCCGCCCGTCGTCCACTACGCCATTGGCGCGCCGCGCACGGTCGTTCGCTCGCTTCGGGATCACGCGATGTGGTGCCCGCTCGCTGGGGCACGGCCGGGCTGCCTGCCATCTCGCCATCTCAATTCTCAGGACTCTCGGTGCAGCGGTGGTCCTCAGCTTGGAAGCTAGGCTGCTGCTGCCGCTACTACTAGCTCTTGTACCAGACTGGGAGCAGCCGGACAACAAGCACCAGAGCCACTTGAGTCGGGGCGCCACATAAAGTTGTGAAGGGAGTGAGTGAGTGAGGGACCACACATGCATGGGGCCCATTCGTGAGATGGAACTGCACTTGCGAAACGAGTGATGCTCAAGTATGATCAAGGAGCTTCTCTCTCAAAAAAAAAGTATGATCAAGGAACACCAGAGGTCATAGGAATAATGCCGTGAAAAGATGGACATCGGGGCTCAAGATTTTTTTTTCTTTGCAAGGTTGGCTCAGAGATTGAGAACCTCTTGTTTGCCGTCAACAACCTCCATAGTCGTGGCCTACGTGACCCCTTTGTTAGTGGTCTGCTTCTACATCTTGAATTCCCCACAGTACGGACTAAACAACAATTTTTTGATTTTTTTTTACGAGCAAACATGTCAGTTTATTATAACATGACGTATAACTTGTTGTGCTGTTACCTCGATCAGTCCGTACAAACGATAATGAGCTACGTATCTTTGTTGGATTTAATTGGCTTGGCCCCAATCTTATTTCAACTAAATCAAATAAATTCTCAGGCCCTATAATTAGTCCAAGGTGATGAAGTATTAGATTTCACGGTGACTTACAACCCATCAAAACCGTAGCCTTTCCAAATTTGGTCCCTTTTCCCCCCCCCCCCCCCCCCCCCACACACACACATACACACCTTTAAAACTTTAGATCTGGCTTCGCCTTGCGTGGATCTATTGATGCATCGGTCAGTGAGGCTAGTTCGTCGCTTGAAGGACATGGAAAAGATGCCGGGCCCATGGGGGTCGGGCTAGGCAACGTGGGGGTGACCCT